TGGGCACCTGTAGTCCCAGCTACTCAGAGGGTGAGGCAAGATAATTGCCTAAACCCAGGAGTTGGAGGTTGCTGTAAGCTGTGTGATGCCACAGCACTCTACCAAGGGCAATAAAATGAGACTTTCTCTCTTAAAAAAAAAAAAACTCTTTGTAGGGACAAGACCAACCAATGCTGACAACAGGCTGACATAGAGACAATCCATGTGACCCCTTTCCCCAGACCCCCGCTAAACTCCCTACCTGGGTGAGCTGCACCCATCATGGCTCAACCTAAAACCCTGGGGTCCTCCTGGATCTTCCCCAACTTCATCCTGAAAGCAAGTGTGCCAGGGAGTGTAGTGCACTGTTCAGAGCTCAATGCGAGGACAGATACATATGTTCTATGTCTGAGCTGCCCAGGACAGTGGTCCCTGGCCACATGGGGCTACTGAGTACTAGAAATAGGACTAGTGCCACCAAGGATTCAATTTTTAATTTTACCTAAAGTTAAACTGGCCTTGCGACCCCACCGGATAGTCCAGCAAGGGCATGGCCAACCTTCCCTGGACTCCCACAGACACCACAGCAATCCTCTAATTCCCCCCGGCTCCCCTAGAGAACAGCACTATGCCCTGCACAGCGCTAGGCTCCCAAAGCCGCAGAGCAGCCCCTTTGCTCTGTCCAGCCGGGACTGACCACTATCCTGCTTGTTCTGGACCTGCTGGCTCCTTTGGGACCCTTAATCTTCTGTGAACTTCTTAAAAACCCAAGTGTCCCATCTGCCAGTGAGTGGGGCGCAAGAAGACAGGGCTCACGTGTGCCTTCCTGGTTGCACAGGTGACTGTGCAACCCAAGGCCTAGACACAGTAATTGCTCAGAGACACAGAGAAGGGACCCCACTAACCCTCCCTGGGATGCCTGCCACAGAACCTGGGGACAGCAAAGGGCCTGCCTCTAGTGTGCTTCCCATTTCAGTTCTCCCACCAGTGAACCCCCACACTCAGGCCCTACCAAGAGAGCAGAGCAAATGGGCAGAACGGGATCCCCACAGGCCCACCACGTGCAGGATGCGGGGGGGGGGGGGGGGGGCTGCTCTGAGCACCTGGCTCACTCACCAGTCTCTGCCACCTTGGCAGGTTGACGCTGCCAGGTCCGAGAGACCATGGCATCCCCAGTGAAGAGGCCCCAAAAGAGCACTCCAGAACCTCCCAACCCAGGCACAACCAATGCGACCCTGGCAACTCCCTGGCACTCCCACAACACGTGGGCTCTGACATTCTACAAGCAGGTGACCTCCAGCAAGCCACTCAAGCCGCTGTGGGCCCCATTTCCTCATCTGTGAAGAGCAGGTTCCACTCAATTCTCGGGAGGACCCAAGCTGCTGCTACCTGTCAACAGGGCGATGGGAGCCCAGGTGGGGAGCTGCCACACAGAACCCTTCTGAAGCGGGAGCACCCCGGGAACAAGAGCGGGGCCCTAGCAGCCCCGCCTCCCCAGATCACACAGGCCTGCACTGAGTGCAGTTCCCGGGAACCAAGTACAGACTCACAGGACCCAGGACCCGCCCCCGCAGGTGCGGACTCCACCACCTGCGCTGCTCGGGGCGGGGCAGGGAAGACGCGGCGCTGGGGGCGGGGCCG